ATACTTTCAGTTCCTTACTGAAAGAGATCGTTTATTCCAATTGTCCTCTCAGAAGAAAGAAAATCACAAAACGCCCAAAATGGATAAACCCGGACTTGAAGGCCTCTTTCAGAAAAAGGAATCGTCTGTAGAGGCGTTACAGAATAACTGGCTCCGACGAACGCTTACAGGAATATAAGCGGCAACGAAACGTTTGTAAAAGTGAGGCCTCAAAGCTGCGAAGGAAGTTTGAATTGAACATACTTCGAAATTCGTTGGAGCATCCCAAAATTCTATATGGTTATATACGAAGTACTAAAAGGACTCAGGAGCTCATCCCTGCCCTCAGGTCTGCAGACGGAAAAGTGGAGATTGATGACCAGGTTAAAGCGTCCCTCCTTTCCGACTTCTTTCAGTCCGTCTTCACCCAAGCACCTAGTGCTATATTTGCCCATCCATCCATTCGCCAACCAACCTCTCCTCCCAGTACCCATTCCCCATCCTATCCCCTCCCTACCCTCCTTAACCGAGGAACCACTCTTTTCATCTACCATAGTTAGGGCCGAGCTACTCCGGCTGAAACCTGCCAAATCGCCTGGCCCAGATAGAATTCCCGCCCTAGCACTTCGTGAACTTGCTAATGAACTGTGCAAACCCTTATCCGCAATATTTCAAAAGTTATTTGAAGACGGCGAGCTCCCGGAAGAATGGAAGTGCGCACTCATTACTCCGATCCATAAAGGAGGCTCAAGACTTGACTGCGGAAATTATCGTCCTGTCAGTCTTTCTTGTATCGCGTGTAAAATAATGGACCGCATTATCAAAAGACACTTGATGAAATACCTGGAACAGAACAAAATATTGTGCGATGCCCAACACGGCTTTCGTCCAGGGCGCTCCTGCCTAACGAGTGTTCTTTACTCGCACGAGAAATGGACACGAGCTACCGATAAAGGTTTTCCAGTAGATGTCATATTTTTTGACTTCAAGAAGGCCTTTGACAGTGTCCCACACAGGCTTCTTTTGCAAAAGATCTGGGATGTAGGGATTCAAGGGAGAATGTTTAAGTGGATCAGGAGTTTTCTGTCCTCCAGACTACAAAGAGTCGTTGTTAGTAATTCTACCTCGAAATGGGTAAAGGTGGAAAGTGGTGTCCCACAGGTTTCTGTCTTAGGCCCAGTACTCCTCCTGATTTATGTTAATGACTGCATCAGCGAAGTGAATTGCGAGGCTCTCATGTTCGCGGATGACATAAATACATGGAGTGAAGTCAAGTGTGATGATGACGCAGAGAAGTTGCAGTCGAACATCAACAAACTGTGTGCTTGGTCGAACAGATGGCTTTTGAAGTTTAACGTGTCCAAATGCGTGGTTTTGCACCTGAACACCGGCCGCAATGCCTCTCCCAAACACCAGTACTATATTGACGGGACGA